AGGCACTCCTCTAGCTCAAGAACCCATTCAAGCTTCATTCTAACTCAATCTAGTTGTTGGAAAACCTTTGTCAAGGTCACATCCATGAGAGGTAAGCCTCCCACTCTCTCATCTGCTTAGATTTGAAATCTTTTTTTCAGTTCAGATCTTGCTTGTTTGAAGTTCTGAAACCTTGGAGAACTTGCATTCTCAACTTTTTCTAAACTAAGCGTAGAGGTAGAAAGGCGAGGGTCTTAGGGAAATTAGTACCTAAGGCCTAATAACATCACCTCAAAATCAACCTGAGGAGAAGTTAAGAGCATTTTTCTCTAGTTTTCGGAAATTCTTGGGACAATTTTACTACATTTTCGTTAGAAATTGAGCCTAGACCATTCCTGAATTGGGTTGCTACAACAACTTGGAGAGAGGGATGCCTAACATTTTCCCTCTCCCAATCATTGGGAACCTAAAATCTCGCAGTTAGGTGCCTTTCTAGGTAGAAAAGGGAATCACTATCAAAGGAATAAAAATCGAGTTTTGAACGCTAAAACAATGGCCCATTCTCTGCCAGGCTTTTTGACCCATTTAGAGTACTATCTCGTATTGGACCTATGGCATATAAGCTAGACTTGCTTAAAGGAAGCTGAATTCATCAAATCTTCAATGTGTCGTGGTTAAAGAAGAAGGTGGGGATGCATGCTATTATTAATCCCATTTTTTTCACCTTTATAGTCTAGAGGCACTTTGGATCCAATACCAAAAGCTATCCACGTGGGAACAGTGGAAGGAAATTCAAATAAGGTTTCCAAGAACCAGCCTTGTGGACAAGGCTTTAGCCAAAGGGGAGGGACTATCTTGAAAGAGATCTAAGAGAGAGAGAGAGAAAAAAGAGAAGGGGCAATCAGTCTGGGGAAAAGACAAGACTGCCGATTTTCAAAAAAAATAAATAAATTGATAGGCTGAAAGTCTCTTAGACTGCCGAATTCGATTTTCAAAAAAATAAAAGAATATAATATATAATATATAATATTATTTAAATATATATTATTGTATATATATATTGATCAGTTTGGTTAACTACCGGTTTTTTTAAATGGTTAACCGAAACTATCGATTTTTTAAGAAAATCGAACCAAAACCATACCAACCGATTCAGTTAACCAATTTTTCAGTTTGGTTTCGATCGATTCGGTTTTTCGGTTTTTTTTGCTCACCCCTAGGGATTGATACGGGTTCCACCGTTAGTTGATGAACCGAAGGCCCAACCCACTAGCTCTAATGCATAAAGCTTAGGAGAATCACATGGATGTTGCATAAGGATGTCATGTSTAACGTGAAGGATGCTTGTGATGGAGCACATGTGAAGAACCTGGTAAATATTGATGAAAAAGGCAAAAAGACCTTTCTACCCTTCCATTAAGTGAATATGTGAAACSGCTATGAGGGCAAAATGTTTTTCTTGACCACATATATTTAGGCAAAAAGATGCAAGCACATTTCACCCTCTTCGTTATTAACTTTCACCACTAAAAAGTAAAAGACATAGAAGAAAGGGGGCCTTTGCAAATGCAAGATCTCCAATAACCATGATCAAATTGCATGGCATTCATTGAAACAGGTGGGTTAACATACCATCCCAATTGCCAAGAAGGATGGATAACAAGATCAAGAATTTCTGGAACACCCACTTAAAGAAGTGCCTTCTCTCTGTGGGTTTCGATCTATAGGTGCATGTAGAGGTGTAAATCGGGTCGTGCCGCTCATGGCCCGACAAGGCCCGGCCCGACTTTGGATTGGCCTGGCATGGCACGATCGAGCGGGTCGTGCCGCTTGTAGCCCGTGTGTCGGCATGGCCCATATATATTATTTATAATATATAATATATATTATAATTATATAATTATATATAGTATATAATATATTAATAAAATAAACAATTGTTTTCAATTTTATTATATCAATTGATTCAATTATTGTATATATAAATAATTGTATACATCAAAATTCATATAAAATTAAAATTTTAAATTTTTTTCAATCTTTTTAAATAAATAGTTTTGGCCCAATCCACAGCCCAATTTGGCCCAAGGCTTGGCCCGCGAACCAACACGGCATGGGCCCGCACGGGCTTGGGCCATGGGCCGTGCTGGGCCGACCTCCCACGTTATCCCAAGGAGGGTGGCATGGCCTGAAATGGCCCACGGGCTGGCACGACACAGACCCGCACTTTACACGGTCCCCTCACGGGCCGTGCCATGCCGGCCCGATTTACACCTCGAGACGTACTCTCCTCCCGCCCTTTCCCCAGGGCTTATAGTCACTCCACCAGCATCTCCTTGGACGCGCTATATGGGTCAATGGGAGAGCAGGGAGAGCACTAGCTGTCAAGGGAATCGTTACTTTGAAATCATTCATTCACCATCGTCTAAGAAACCTGATATATGATTACTTTCTCTGCATTTGGAATTTTGAAATTGAGGAATCGTTTTGGAGGGTAAACGGGCATGAATCATTGGCATATCAAAGCCCCTTATCCCAGGCATCGTCATAACGAAATAGGGATCAGGGATGAGAATAGAGGTCATGCCTGTAGCTATGGCGGTTGCACTTACTATAAATCAATCCAAAGGGCTGCGGTGTGAAAACAGCAAATCGGATGTGGAAGAGGTTGCAATTAGGTCAGATTACTCGAACTGGATGAGTCATCAAAAGCGTCATTGCAGTTGTTGTTGGATTTCCCGACTAGTGAATATATGAGCTTCTTTCAAAGACGTCATTGCAATTTCTCGTTGCCTAACATGCTAAGCGAAAGCTCGTTGAATTCTTCCCCTTGAATATTATTTGGAAATTGGAGAAGCAAAGGAAATTACCATATTTCGGACTGGATGGACGGGGGTTTGTGTCGCGCGCACGCTGGGCATGCACATGGCTATCTTGCCAAACGTTTCGTTGAACAGTTGCAGGGCAAATGCCTTGATGCATTATTGCACAGTAGGACGGTCACCAACCTAGGTCAAACCCACTATGAGTTTCGTCGTTGCAGTGTCGATCACCAGCTTTCTCACTGCAACTCCTCGGTTTGTCGTGGTTGTAGACATAACAGGAGGGGAAAAGGGTGGGTGAGTAAGGGGTGCCTTTGTCCAAATAGTTTAAAGGGAATCTGCAACCAAAGGCCTAAGGGTATTTTCGACAACAAAAGGGCAGTTTTGGATTTTTAAAGAATTAATAGTGTCAAACGATGGCACATGCTAGCAGATATTAATAGGGAGTTAAGAAGCACAGCAACTACAAAAATGCCCAAAGAGTATGATTGAAAATCTGATTCTGTTCATTTACTTGTATAATGGGGAGGTGTTCACAGGGAGTTCATTGTTTGCTTTTAATTGATATACTAAGATGGTGTTCTGCTTTCAAAAAGGATCAACAGTGCCGATTGGTATACTTAAGTGGTTTCACTTTCAAAGTGGGTTCTTTATGGCAAGGTTTTTAAAACTGACGCATAAATAGAACTGATTTGGCCACCGGTTTCCAGGTCAATGGTTCACCCGTCTGGGTCAAACGGGTTAAAACGGTTAAAGCTAATGTAATTTATTTATTGTATCCTGCCTGTTGGATTAGCAATATTACGTCAGGTTAGAACAAGGTTCATATAAATACTTTCTGTTAGAGAGACAATGAGAAAGAGGGTTGAGAAACGAATGTGAGGAGATTGCAGCTATGTCTAGTTGTCCATATTGTTGCAATAAAGAGAAGAATGACTGAGAAAGGAACTGTTGTTCTCATTTCATTGTAAATGGTATTTTGATACACAATACCATGTTCAAAAAATACATTTGTGTCACTAAAAAAGATGTCATTTCTAGTAACACAGAAATACAAGAGGGAGAGAGAAGAGAAGAAAAAGAAAGAATAGTAAAAATTGAGGGAAATGTTTTTGTCTAGGAAGTGAGAATGAAAGAGGGAAAAGTTTTTAAAAAAATACACTATACCACACTGCAGAATTCTGAATTCCACTACAATCCTACATAATTCAAAATGACAAATAGCCCCCACCCTAAAACACCAATGCCCACCCATGTATTGGTATCAATTCCAAACGACACCTACCCCAACTGTACTATGGGGCTAAGAATTCTTAGGGTGTGCGGAACACTCATTCTCTCAAAAGTTTGAATGAGAAGTTAGAACGAAAGAGGGTAGAGCTTGYCTTTTCTCCCTCGTTCATTAGATTCTAAAATCCTAACCATATGCCCAAATTTGATTTGGGACTCAAATGTTATTTTTTATTTTTGTTTAATTATAAAAAATTAAAAAAAAAGACCCACAAACCATTGGCCAAGTCGAATGGTTTAACGGTTCAACCACCTCAACAGTTCTTTAACAATTTAAATGTTTTTTTTTTTAAATAACAATCCAATACAAAGCTAAACCCAAACCGATGAATGGTTCCTAGGTTGAATGGTCTGCCCAACTTGCAAGTGGGTGCATTTGAAAGTCTTGAATTATTACTTTGTTACTATGACTCGATTTGGAAGTACAAATACAAATATGTACAATACAAATACATACAAAATAATATAAAATACAAAGGTTTACACTCTCCATATTTATATTTGTACTCTTTCCAATTGTAGCCTATAGAAAAAGAAATGTATTATACTTATTTGCATATTTGGTAAGTATTGGATTTTATATTCGGAAAATTACATGACAAGAATAAATGTCACAAAAAACCTCTCTAAAGTTTTTTTATATCTACCCACAAAATGGAAATGCATGAATAAAGTCCATTTTAATATTTTGTGTAGATAAACGTATAAGTGGAACTCACAAGTACTGTAAGCATATTTGAATGTGTTACCAGATCACATGTAAGAGAAACCCACAAGTATGCTTGTCAAATGGTCTTTTGATCTTTCTAGCTTTTGAAAAGATCTTTAAAAAAAAGTTGGTACCAAACAATCTTTGGTTTTTGAAGATCTACCTGTGAAAGCTCATCGGTATTTAGATTCTAAAATATCTTCCTAAAAAGACTTGCCAAACAGTTCCTTAATTTTACACACCACAATATCACACCATATTGGCAAACTTGGGTGGAATGGAACGGAACATAGTTTCAGCCATTTGGCCAATTTCAGAACTAAAAACCTCAGAGCTCCATTGGCTTTCTAGTGAACCATCGCTCAATTTCAATACTTCAAACCTTAGCTCCATTGGCTTTCTAGTGAACCATATGATCAGATAACAAAGCAATCAAACCTGCACCCCCATATCAGGGAGATGCCGGGTGCAAGTGCAACAACTGCAGACGCCAATGATCTTTCTTTGTGAAAATATATATATGTACAATATTACCTTCAAATGCTGAATGGACAACGGACTTCAGCTTAAATAACTTAAATGTGCCTCAATAGGAAACCTATCTCTCCTACAAAAATTTGAGCCACTGGGCATTAACCATTTTACTCAGCTAGATGCTCCAGCAGCAGTAGCAGCACCTTTATCATATTCTCGCTGTTCCTCCTTGGCAAACTCTTCAATCAACATACGTTGTCTCTGAGTCAAATTCCTGTAAAAGATACAAAATCCATTGCTCAAAAATCATACTCAAACTTGTGAAAAAAAACATCCAATGCTGTCTGGCTCAAATTTGCCAAGAAAATATAAGATCAATGAGACTGAGAACTTACGAGGGAATGCTGACATTAAAATGCACATATTGATCCCCATATGAAGCAGAGCTCCTTGTTCTAATCCCTGCAAGAGAATACAAGTCAGAATTTTAGTATATGAGCATCAAGTTTTGTGTAAAAAGAAATGCATTGCTTCATCCACCAGTAGATTAAAAATCTATTAGCCTCATCTACTAAAATTTCTCACAGCCTCAACCTCGCAGATTAAAAATTTATCAGCACCAGTGATGAACAGACACGTAAGATTTTGTGCATCACAAGAAGAAATTTGTGATTTCTCTGAAAATAAGTCCAAAGAATGGAAATTGCAATTTTTCTTTTCTTTTCTTTCAATTCATATGGAAAATAGAGAAGAAAACCAAAAGACATTGCAGACACAAGCACAACTTTGCAGTTCTCACCTTTTTTCTTCAGCACGACCTTCTGACCATGTTGGGTGCCTGGGCGGATCTGCAAAGCAAAGACAAGTTAATCATGCCACCCAAGTTTTTGGACTATGAAAAAACAGTTTCTCAAGGAAACCCAACAGTCATTCTTTGTGCCAAAGTATATCTAAGAATACAAAGAGGATATTTGAGAGAAGCAACACAGATCCTACTCCACTTAGTAGAGATGTTTAATAATGGGATATTTTGTGTAATCTTCATGCAAGAATTTGTTTTACTTTGGGGTAAATCAGATTAGCTGAACAAGATRGCTGTGCAGTGGGCTGTGGAACCAATGATAATGCCCCATGCCAATCATAAAATGCATGGGGCCCACAGTGAGAGATTGAATGGTTGTGGGCCCCATGTATCTTATGACTGGTGTGGGGCATTATCATTGGTTCCACAGCCCACTAAACAACTATTGCATTCAGCTAATCCTACTTCATTTTGGCCTTTGGAAGTAGGTTATGTCTATAGGTTTTTTGGAGGTTTGGATTCTGTGGATTGGTTGGGTTGTCAGTCTTGGGAGTTTGGGGGTTTGAAGATGTTCTGTTTGTAATCTTGGGTGTGGGTATGGTCAGCGATGGGAATCTTCTATGTTTATTTATGGTTTGTGTAGGGCTGAGAAAGAAGTTGGATATTTGGGTCTGTTTTTTACTTCTTTTTATTTTATGGTTCATTCCTTATTGTCTCTGTTGTAATTAAACTTGTTCACAGGCCAGGCTTTACCACTTATTAAGTGTAGAGAACACTGATGTGGTCCCCACAGTATTCGTATGGCAGCAATATTTCTGTTAGATATGACAGTGTTAGTTGGTAGTTATTTCAGCTTTATTTTTAGTTATTTCTTGTTCTATTTGCCATGTAAGCAATAAGGGCAATTCAGCCCTTTTACAGTTAGCCAATAGTTATATAAATACTAATAGAGGGTCAGCAGAAATTATGACCTTCTCTCTCTCTTTTCTGAAACTCTCTTCGTGTACTTCTTCTCTTCCTCTCTTCTCTTCTTCTTCTCTTCAATGTTTTATCCTTTTTTTCTTTTTAATTCAAGACTGATTGTAGTCTAGATTGACTACTTGGTATCAGAGCCGACCTAGGAGCTCTTATGCTAGTTTGATTAGGCCGACTGCTTGAGAACCTCCTAGGTTTGGAAGTTTTTCAACAAGGAAGGAGGATCGGCTGATTCTTGGAGGTTACTGGTAGTGTGTGGCTGCTACTAAAGAGATTGTAGAAGTCTGGGAGAGTTCCGGTAGTCGGGAAGAATCAGAAGAAGCTTCAGATTCTCAAGATTAGGATTTTGCATCAACCAGAAGGTGGTGGCCAGAGATTTTTTCATAAAGTAAGTTTTTTTCTTGTGATTCCTTTTAGAAAATATCATCTTGGTTTAGTCTGAGAGGTGCGGCTGGAGAATTTTTGTGTTTTCTTTAGGGTTTTGAGAGAAAACCCTAAAATTCAGAACTGTTATTTGTTTCAGATCAGAATTTGAACTGGTTTCATTCAGAACTCTGTTTTCTGTGTTCTTTGGAAGACCTAGGCCGGCTGTTATTAGTTGTTTGGGTGTTGTTTCTCCTATTACAGTAATTAAAAAAATGGTTTTTTTATTAATTCTTGGTCAAGAATGGAGTTCAAGAGTCAAGGGAAAGGTGTTTCTGAGACTAACAATTCTGGTAACATGTCTGAGAATAACTTTCAGATTACAGCAGTTAAGTTTGATGGATCAAACAAACTAGAATGGGCATCAATCGACCATGATGGCCATTGGGGGTAGGGGAAAACTGAGCTACTTGTTGGGAGATGTGAAAGAACCAACTAAGGAGGACCAAACCTATACCAAATGGGTTTAGGAGAACTATTTGTGGACGAAAACAGCTAAGGAAATCTGGGATGTCATGAAAGAGACCTACTCCCAACCCCTTAATGTTGTTAGGGCTTATGAACTGAAATGTGAGGTTAACAACCTTAAGCAAAGAGAGAAACCAGTCTCGGTTAATTTCTCTACACTAAAATCTTTGTGGCATGAAATTGACCACCTAGAAACACTTGAGTGGGAAAGCCAGAAGGATGCACAGACTCATAGAAAGCAGGTTGAGACTAATAGGGTGTTTGAGTTCCTAGCTGGTCTGAATCCTGAGTATGATATTATGAGATAGCAACTACTGACAAGAGACAATGTGACCCTATCACAAGCCTACTCCTTAGTGCATAGTGAAGAGACTAGGAGAAAGGTTATGATGCAGCATCAGCCCTTCCCACCATCCTTGGCAACAGTCAAACCTAAGTCTGGGGGTGATACGGAGAGGGATATAAAGAAGGAAGACAAGCGGGATCTAGTATGTGACATTGCAAGAAACACAAGCATACTAAAGACACCTGTTGAAAGCTGCACCCTCATTTAGTCCCAACAAAACTCAGGAACAAAAGGGGTAATGCTAATATGGCTGTTAATACTGATTGTGCCTCCTCATTAGGCACAAAAGGCACACCCCTAGACATCCTAGCTGCTGTCTGGGCTGCCCTGACTCAATCATCTCAGTCGCCACCAGCTCCCACATCAGCTTTTGCTCATTCAGATACTCGGGCCTCAACTTATCATGCTTCAACTCCAAGTAACACTGAACATTGTTGGGTAATAGACTCAAGTGCATCTGACCATATGACTGGCTTGCCATCACTATTCACTATCTATCACTTATCTTCTGGCAGAAATAAAGTGTCCATTGTTGATGGTTCCCTTGTTCCCATTTCTGGCAAGGGAGACATCAAGTTGTCTAATGCCATCTCCTTATCTTCAGTTCTACATGTTCCTAAGCTTAATACTAACTTGTTTTCAGTCAGTAGCATTACAAAACATCAGAATTGTTTAGTAACCTTTTTCCCTGACCGATTTGTTTTTCAGGACTTGGAGACAAGGAAGGTGATCGGGATTGGCCGTGAGACGAATGGGATTTATCTGCTTGGAGAGAGTTCACATTGGGAAGATAGTGAAGATAGGAAGTCTTTTGTTTCTCAGTCTATTAGTCAGGTTATGCTTTGGCATAACCGATTGAGTCATTTATCTTTTCGGTCTTTGAAGATTTTGTTTCCTGATTTATTTGAGTCTGTTCAAATGTCCAGTTTGAGATGTGAGAGTTGTGAGCTTGCAAAGCATTGTAGAACATCTTATTCATTGTGTAATAAAAGAAGTAATAGTCATTTTGATATTGTGCATACTGATGTTTGGGGTCCGTATCACATCACTGCTATGGGGGGGTACAGATATTTCTTGTTGTTTGTTGATGACTATACCCGTTTTTCTTGGGTTTACCTTATGCGTTCTCGAGATGAGGTTCCTACTTTGACCCGGATCTTTCATCAGATGATTTTAACCCAATTTGGGGTCAAAATCAAAATCTTCATATCTGAGCGAAAGAATACTTTGCCAACCAATTAGCCTCTTATTTGCTTGACCATGGGATTATCCACCAAAGTACTTATCCTCATACACCACAGCAGAATAGGGTTGCTGAGAGGAAGAATAGGCACATATTGGAGGTGGCCAGAAGCATCATGTTTAACTCTAATGTGCCTATTCATTTATGGGGAGATGCTATTCTTACAGCAGTGTATCTCATTAACCGAGTTCCTTCACGGGTTCTTGTCATGAAGCCTCCATTTACCCTCCTATACCCTGATAAAGACCTGTTTATTGTTCCCCTTAAAACCTTTGGTTGTACTTGCTTTGTTCAAATTCTTGGGCCTCATCGTTCCAAATTTGATCCTAAGGCCTCCAAATGTATTTTTCTCGGTTATGCACAAATTCAAAAGGGATATTGCTACTATGAACCCACTTTTGGGAAAAGATTTGTCTTTATGGATGTTACTTTCTTCGAGGATGTACCCTATTATCCTAAGGTTTCTCCTCAGGGGGAGAGTAGTGAGTGTGGGGTTAACTCATCAGAAGTTCCTTTACCTGTTCCATTAAATGATGAGGGATGTAATGGGGAGGGGTGTCAAAGGTGCCGGGATTTGAGAGTCTATCACAGGCAGTGGAGGCAGGTTGATTTCGGTCATCAGCAGTCCAAGCCAGCCCCAGTTCCTTCTACAGATCCAGATCCAGGTACTACAGTTCCTTTATCAGATCCAGGTTCCACTGAGATACCTTCCACTGTTGAGCCCTTACCTCCTTTGGATGACCTTGACCTCCCCATTGCAGTCCGTAAAGGCAAACAGTGTTGCACCACATCCACAGTCCACTGCATTTCCCAATTCTTGTCCTATGATCACTTGTCCCCCTCTTACATGTCCTTCCTCACATCTATTGCTGATATTCCTATCCCCAGAACAGTGCAAGAGGCCTTGTCAGTTCCTGAGTGGAAAGATGCAATGAAGGTTGAAATGGATGCTCTTCTAAAGAATAATACTTGGGAGCTAGTTGATCAGCCTAAAAGGAAGAAACTAGTTGGATGTAGATGGGTATTTACTGTGAAACATAATGTTGATGGTTTCATTGAAAGGTATAAGGCCCGGTTAGTTGCAAAGGGATTTACTCAGACTTATGGTATAGACTACTTGGAGACTTTTGCTCTAGTAGCAAAGATGACCATTATTAGAGTTTTATCATCCCTTGCAGCCAGTTACTCTTGGCCCTTGTTCCAGATGGATGTTAAAAATGAGTTCCTTAATGGAGACTTGCAGGAAGAAGTCTACATGCAGTTGCCTCCTGGATTTTATGATGCAGACACATGAAAGAAGGTTTGCCGGTTGAATAAAGCCTTGTATGGACTCAAACAATCCCCTAGAGCTTGGTTTGATAGATTCAAACAAGTCCTTGAAAGGTTCGGCTATGTACAGGCCCAGTTAGACCATACATTGTTCATTAAGAGTGGATCTTCCTTGACCTTGCTTGCTATATATGTGGATGATATTGTAGTGACAGGGAATGATAATGGTGAGATTGAATCTCTCAAACAACTTCTTCATCAAGAATTTGAGGTGAAGGATCTGGGAGAGCTACGATACTTCTTAGGTATTGAGGTAGCTAAGTCTAAACATGGGATTTTTGTTTCCCAAAGAAAGTATGTTCTAGATTTGTTGGAACTGGAAAGTGAGATGTTAAGCCTACAGATACACCTATTGAACAAAATCACAAGATCAGTGCAGAGGGTGGAGAGCCACTTGAAGATAAAGCTATGTTACAACGGTTAGTTGGAAAACTCCTTTGTCTTTGTCTCACACAACCGGACATCAGTTATGCGGTCAGCGTTGTTAGTATATGCACTCTCCTAGGACTACTCACTTGTAGTTGAGAGGATATTAGCATATTTGAAGAGGTGCCCAGGTAGAGGTATACTATTCAAGAATAATAATCACATGAAGACAGAGGTTTATACAGATGCTGATTGGGCTGGGAGTATTGATGATAGAAGGTCTACCTTTGGATATTCCGCTTTTGTAGGAGG